GCCTCCTGCACGTCCCCTACTGGGGATTGAGCCTGCAACCTGGGCATGTGCCCTGACTGGAATCAAACCGTGACCTTTCAGTCTACAGGCCGATGCTCTATCCACTGAGCTAAACCGGCTAGGGCAAGCAATGACTGTTTTTTTTTAAAAAAATCGTTAACATTAATATCATTGTTTTTTAAAAAACTAACAACTGTTTTATTAAAGAAATTGTCAAAATTCTTCTACCAACTAGCAAACGGTTAACATACTCACATGTGCACTTGGTGTTGCTGTAGGTCAAAATACAGATGGCACACTATAAATGTGGGTGTTTCAGTAATTCAGGGATCAATGTCATTTGGGGGTCATTTGATGCCCCAACATGCTTCTTGCACGTTGGTGTCCACATTGTGTTCCGTGAGGAGCTGTGGGCACTAACTTTGGACATGTTCCCTTTTAAAAAATTAGTAACATCCCATTTCCAGCAAAAAATCCCTCTGATGTTTGCTCCTCTCTGCATGGGCTCAGCCCTGCGTGAAGTCTGGCACAGGATTAGGCTACCTCCTGAAGTGCCTTTCTGATTGATCTATACAACAGCCCTCAGATCTGAGAGCTTGTGAGCTGGAAGAAAAGCTCCCTTCAAAGCAGGCTTCAGTTTCAAGGATCCAATTAGTTCTTATCTCCTCAAGCTGCTGTTCCCAAGCCTTCCTCTGGCCATTGTTCCTATTTATCGCGTTCGCTTTGAGAACATCTTGCTTTTTCCTAAGCGTCCCTTGCATATCTTTCAACACGGATGCCCAAGCAATATTATATCTGGTACAACGCTTAGGATGAGGTCCAGGGCACCTTCTTGGACATATGCAAAGGGAAGAAAGAATAAGTTAGGCCAAAAGGCACTACTTCCCAGATAGTGGGAAAGTCTTCATTTCCCTTTGCATGTAAAACACCACCTAACAATCAAGCCCTAACAATCAGGGGGTTAATATATTACACAGGCCCTTCCTGTTGCAGTAACACTCTTTCACCTTCTCATATTTTGAGACATCAGTGTTTCAGAGGTGCTCATGGATCGATGCCGTGTTATCACCTGCTGTAGCTAATAAACTGATTTATCAAACCACCGTTCAGAGCCCCTCTCTCTCTGAAGTACATCACGGACTCACAGATTTGTAGGGGCCTGTGCTCCATGGGAAGCACCTCAGACCCATTAAAAGGAGAGAATGCTTATTAAAAACATGGGTGACATGCCTGCATAAACATTCTGGGGACCAATGAAAAGGATGAGACAGTATGAGGAAAGGTTCTTGGCTCCAGGTTGGAAGTTGTAAGAGATGAGGTCATTAAGATAAAGTTCAACTTTGAGAGTCATAATCGTAAGGTTAGATTGTGGTGGTGGCTAAAGCAACCTGGGATTGTAACCATAACAAGGGAAACAGGACAGCTTTCTAGACAGCACTGTGGTCAGTGGCAGGGTGACCTGAGGCTAGAGGGTCAAACCGAAGATATAAAGTGCCTGACGCACTTTGCTGGCCTATCGCGCTGGCCCTGCCTCCAGGCTGGTTACTATATCCCTGTTTTCATTTCCAAGGTCCCAAGGAACCTTGTGTCACAGTCATCCCAGACATTAAGACGCTTTACAGCGTGTATTTCTGCGTACTTGTTTGTGTACTTTATTTGATTTTTGAGTTCATTGAGAACAAGGGCCTAGTGTAAGGCCCTAATAAATCTTTATTTGATTTTGCTTGATTTAATGTAATTTGATTTAACACCCAAAGAATGTTTGTTTTTAAATTCTGCTTCTTTAAAAATGCTGACTGTGCAAATAAAAAAATAAAAAGCTAAAAAAAAAAATGCTGTCTGCTCTCAGGGCTCCTGGTATAGGAGAGGCTGTTAAGAATGGATCCCCTTTAACTACCACAAGCCCCCCATCTTCTCTTGCCGTCTGGGGAGACAGCACACACAACCCTGGCTGCACATGGGAGGGGTTCCTTCTGAGAGGAGGTGATGGTGGAATACTGTTTCCTGCTGCAGACAGGCCCAATATGACTATTTTAATTTGTCAAGAAAGTGAACTACAGGGGGGACTATCAGCTTTTCATAAAAATTGTGCACAATATTTTTGTGAAAAGCAAGTATGCATCTATATGCATTTTTTTTCTGGGGAGAAATTAAGCCTTTACCTGGTTCTCAAAGGGGCTTGGGACCCCTGCTTAGTGGGAGTGAAGAAGTTGGCTTTCAAATGTCAAGCTTCTACTTTGATGATAAATTTCCTTTCCGGAATGGTAATGTCTGAGCCTCGTTTTTACTTCCTGCACCTTGTACAGCCCTTGCCAACACTCAGCAGCCAACAGGGGTCTGTTTCACTGGAGCGGGTGGGAGTGACAAGCGAGGCCGACTGAAGAGCATTGCTGCCCGCTACCCGGGACGCACCACTTGTCCTTGCTCCTCACCGGCCCGCGTGTGCTCACTCGCAGGCTAATGGGCAGCATTTGCCCCTTTCTGAGAGAGCAGGGATTTCCACTTTATTTGTATGTTTTGAAATGTCCAGACCCTTTTCCATGTCCAACCACTGTCACTACTAACATTTATTTGTATGGTACTTCTTTTGTAAAGACTTTACATTAGAGCAAAAATTCTGTGGGATACACAGGTCTTCGGGGAGTAGGGCTTGTGTGGAAGCGAAGTGAGGCTTGCTTTCCCTCAGGTAGGAGGCCTATTTTCTTGTTCGTTTCCATAAGTGAAAAAGAGCAGAGATCCTGTCAGCTGCCTCCTGCACACCCGCTACTGGGGATGTGCCCAAAACCAAGGTACATGCCCTTGACTGGAATCAAACCTGGGACCCTTCAGTCCGCAAGTCGATGCTCTATCCACTGAGTCAAACTGGCCAGGGCAGATTCGAGTTTTAAACAGCAAACAATCTGAGCTGCTCAGTAGCAGCAGGAGACCCGGAGGCTTCAAACAGCAGGTGACTTTTCTAACAAAGTGCACAGTTGGGGTTAGGCTCGCAGCCACAGAGCAAAAAGGAAAAAAGGTTTTTTGTTTTTTTCTTTTTCTTTTTTTCTAAAGCAGTAGCTTAACTTGCGTTTTTTGGTTTTTTCTTTTTCTTTTTTTCTAAAGCAGTAGCTTAACTTGCTGGCTCAGCACATGTTTTTCCCTGTGATAGTTTGGAAAAAAAAAACGTGCCTTGGACGCCCTCTTTCCCCTTAGCCCTTCCTCCCGCCCCCGACTGTACCATTCAATCCGGGATACTGGGGTGACTAGAGAGGATAAGGAATAAATCAGTAATTGCCAAAAACGTTGCCCCCACGTTGCTCAGGGCAGTACCTGATCCTTTCTTTTGGGGGTGATTGTAATGATCAGCTCAGGGCGGTGCTCTGCTGACAAGGTCACAGCCGAGTGAGCTGGACTTGGGACTGTGTGGACTTGGGACTGTGGTTGGCGGGGGAAGGGGGCGAGAGAGGGGGAAGGGAGGAGGAGGTGCTGGGAGGTAAACAACAGGACTATAAATATCAGAGGTTCTGGCGGGCCCCGGCGGAGCGGCTGCTGAGCAAAGAGGAAGATCAGCCTCGAAGGGGCTGTCTGTGTAAGTAGGAATTCTGTGTTTTACATACTTGATTCTTTTAGAGTTTGGTAAATAAGATGATTCTGAGTCTGGTAAAGTGTTTCTTTCCTCTTAGAATAGGTTTTAAAAGAAGAGGTAGGTAAAGAAAATACAGAAGAAAGAGAATACAGCCCTGTTACACGGGGTGTGGCGGGTGTGGTTCTGTGGTGGGCACCTTGGTCGCTGGTGGTTTCTGCCGCTCTGCACAGCTGAGCTTGCAGGTGGGAGCAGGGGACGGGGAGAAATTGGACACTTTGACTCTGCAAAAGCGGTGATGTTCTAGGGGCAACATTGCATGTTCAAGCTTAAGTACTTCCCGCTGAAATGCAGAGTGAGGACTCGAAGGGCAAAAATAGCCCACAGAGTTGAAGAGTAGAGGCCATTCTACAGGGATTAGAAATGTCCGGGATATTGTGAGCTGTTGGAGAAAAGAGAGAAAAAGGAAGGGAGAGCAGGTTTGGTCCACTGTGCAGGAATAGTCACCCCTGCAAGAGGTACACACACTCATGTCATGATCGGTGCCTGGGACAGAGTTTGCAGTTCAATGGTGAGTGGGTGCTCTCAGGTGAATGAGGAAGGACCCTCGGACGCCCATCTGAAGTTCAAGGGAAGAGGATGGGAAAGGTTCTGCATATCCTGGTTTTTAATGGGGAATTCTAACCAAAGGTGGGTCTGCCTGTGGCCGGCAAATCAGGTTTTGTGATTGAAAGTGGTGAGATCGGTGACATTTATAAGTACGTTCTAATTATTATTGGATCAGATGCCAGTAAATCCAATTTGGTTATTTATCTTCGTTATTTTTATGTAACTGTCTGACAGCTGTAATTATAATCAAAAGTCTATTATGTAAAAAAAAAAAAAGATCTTAAACACAGTTGAACAGCCTGTCAGTTACAACAGAGGGTAATCTGCTCAAAGTGTGAACTCTAATCCACTACCCTCTGCCAATGGCTTGAGTTATTATTATTTTTTTAATCAAAAAACGAAATGAGAGACAGGAGTGAAATAGCCTTTTCATTTATACTCACTATGCAAACATTTGGAAAGCATTCTGTGGAAAAGTGAGAGTGCCAAGAGCCGACTTTATGCTGAAGGCTCTATATTGACTGAATTTAGATTCTAGGCAGTAGGGATACACTAGCCATCCCAGGAAGAAACAAAACGGCCTGCATGATTTTAATGCCCCCTTGGCCATTCTAGGGCATCGGCAAACAAACAAAAAGCCCTGGCTGCTACGGTTATTACAGGCGACCTACCTTCAAACTACCCCAAATCTCAGGAGCTAAGAGGTCATGTTTTAGAGTCAGCAAACCGGTTTGAATCCAGTCTTCCTGGGGACTTACTGCCTGTGTGGACTTGGGCAAGATGCCTAAACTCCCTCTGCGCCACAGTTTCCTCAACAGCAAAATAATGCTCACGTGGTTGTTAGGATGAATGGACATGATATACGCAATTGCTCAGCACTCCTGCATCCAGTTTTGAATGCTCGACAAATGGTAGCTATAATAAGGATAACTATATCAATACAAACACTATACTAAAGAATCCCCTAGATCTCATCTAGATATATCTTCTCCTTTTTAAAATATTAGAGTTTTTAAAATGTTATACTAGTTGGGGTGGCCTTAATAAATTATTTATTCTTTCTTAACCACCCCTCTCCTCATTTAGTTAGGCTCTTATCATGAAATATAAGTAGGAATTTTGTGGTGTTAAATAATGTGGAAGATAACCAGGTGCTATAGAGTCCCATCTATATCTAGCTGTGCATTGAGCCCCAATCCATCTGATCTTAGCCTCTTGATTTTGGGCTCACTCTGGGAAACTTATCATTAGCTTCCCGTTCTCTCCCTCCCTCCCCCTTAAATAAAAAGTGGTTTTCTTTTTTTATCCTACATCTGTTCCTGAAAAGGCACTAGCTTCCTAGCTCTGGAATTTTGTCCCCATCGCTTTCCCTAGTCTTACATTAAAATGATCAGGTGTGGATTTTTCTTTCTCTGCTCATCTCAGCTGAATGTGCTCTTCTCTTCACCACCTCTCTACAAGTCACCTGTTTTATCTGTAGCTGTCTGCTGAGAGAGCTAGCCCTAGCGTTGGGAATATTTCCGGTCAGGCCCATTTAACTTGAGAAGGTTTGCTCCTGAAGAGCTCAGGGCCTCCCATGAGCCACCTCCTTGTTTCATGCTCTGTTCATTTCTGTGCAGAATCCCCGATGTACCCTTTCCTTTCTTAGATTGGTCAAGGGTGGAAAGAAGCAATCAGAACTTGGTGTATCTCAAAAATCAAACCATGTTACAGAATGTTACTTAGTTATGGCGGCAGAGTCTCAAACTTTCCCACGCACCGTCTCCTGGAGGCAGGTTTGGCTCCCTTTCAGGCGCATCTCCATGGCGTGCTGCCTGTAGCATCTCGCTAAGCTGGACAGTTCAGGGGTCCTTGGACCCCTACCCTGCCTCTGGCTGACCTTTTCACCTTTCAGGGAAGATTTGGTGCATGTAGGTCCAACATAATGAGCCCAACAACGTGGCGACGGGACCCAGGGTTACATATTTATAGGAAAGAGAGTTATACTGGACTAACAGAAATGCCTGCTGAGGACCGAAGCCGTCCCTGAAGATGACAGAAAGCTCTTCTCTTTTTCAGGACAAGCCCAGCAATGTGGAGAAGCCTGGGGATCACCCTGGCTCTCTGTCTCCTCCCCTGGGGAGGCACGGAGAGCCAGGGGCAAAGCCCCTTCTGTAAGCCACCTCCAGCCTGGAGCATCGGGGAGCAGGACCCAATGCTGAGCTCCTCTGGCTCCGTGGTCCTGGTCGCCCTTCTGCAAGCCAGCTGATCCTTCTGCCTCAGGCAGGCCTCTAGGTAAGATGGACTTGCTGGGGTCTGGGCCTTCTTCAGGGAAACTCTGTTAAATACAGACACAAAGTAAAATAAAAATAGAAACAATATATTTATGAAATCACGTTTTTGGAAAAACCATACATCTTTGGATAGAACATGTTAGAAGAAAAAAGAATAGAAGGATATACGCCAAATGTTTACAGTGCTTTTCCCGGGACTGTGACAATTTTTTCTTCCTTTTGTGGACCTGTATTTTATACTGTCCTACTACATAGGTATTACTTGTGTAATGGAAATGTTCTGAAATGTACTCTGAAAATACCTTAGTCATTTCAGGGTAGCAAACAAAGATGAAGGCTTCGCCAGAGTAGAAGGAACACTAGACTTGCCACAAAGGTCTTGGGTCATTGAACAAGCATGTATATTTACATACATTTGTTAAATCTATATAACAAATATGTGTAAAAATATTTGTTGGGTTACTTGCCAGATATTGACTGGGTAGAATTCTTGGTAAGATGGATTAAAAATATACACTTCATAGGATTAATTTGAGAACAAAATGAACTCATGTTTGTGTAAGCATTTAGCATAAGGTTTTAACTGGGCACAAGTGCTCAGTAAATAATTTAAAAAATGAAAGTTTTAGTCCTTTACACAATATAAAGAAGGGGTATGAGTAAGTAAAACATAGTAAGAATGTTTCATGTAGAAAACAAAGAGTGAGGAGGAAGAGATAAGTCACTAATAAAATTAAGTGAGATTATTCTTTTTTTTTTCCCCCCCCAAATATTTTAGTTTGGAAGACCTGCGAGTAAAGCTGGAGAAAGAAGGTTTTTCTAACATCTCCTATGTTGTTGTTAATCATCAAGGACTCCCTTCTCGATTAAGATATAATCTTCTCAAAAATGAGGTTTCAGAACATATTCCTGTTTATCAACAAGAAGAAAACCAAACAGATGTCTGGACTCTCTTAAATGGAAACAAAGATGACTTCCTCATATATGACAGGTATGTACATACACACACATACACCCACATACAACACCAGAAATTAAAGATGCCTGCTTGTATTTAATTTAATAGAAATTGATTTGAGATAAGGCCCTTGATTTTATTTTATTACCAAATATTTAGTTTCAAAGTGAGCCCATTAAAATATTTGGTTCTGATATTTTTGAAATAATTTTTTCACAAAAAATTCACTATTCCAGTAGGGAAATAAAGAAAACTGACTATACTTTTTCCCCCTGTAAATTGGTGTTCTGGTTAAACACAAATGAGGATCAATTTGTATATCACATACAATTCTAATCTGAGAATTTTGCAGGAGAATAACTTTGGGGAGACTGGATGAAAGAAGGTGAAGGGATTAGCCAAAGAACATATATGCATAACCCATAGACACAGACAACAGACAACAGTGTGGTCATGGCCAGAGGGAAGTGGGGGCAGGGGCTGGGTGAAGGTTGGCAAGGGGGGATGGGGACATCTTGTAATAGTGTCAACAATAAAGAAAACAAACAAAAATAACCACACTTTACCACACTTTGCAGACCACTTGCTTATCTCTAATCTAATTAATAATTTTAAGACTGCATACCTGAATTTTGGAACTATAAACTGTGTTAATTATTTAGGGATAATAATTGAATCTGCTTTTGATTCCATGAACAAATAAAACAGTGCATATATTAGGATATTATTAACATTCCTAGTGGGCACTATGTTTCCTGTTGGTTCTTCAGAGATGGTGAGCCAGACTTGGCCAGGCCTAAGTCCTCCTTGGTCTTTCTCGAAATATTTTTAATATTATGTCATTCTTTTAGGACTTCAAAGTTCTACTGCAAAGTATAAGTATTTGCTATTCACAGAAAATCGTATATACTGGGTGAAATGTGTGCAAGAAGGACATTTCACCTCCACCATTTCTGAGCATGCCCAATGTTGTAACTCTGTGTCTTTCATTGTGAAGTTTTTGTTGCTTCAGATTTATTTTTGAGAAAATGGACCACTGACCAAGACTCTAGGTTGTTTTGTCAGGCTGTGACTTCTTGTGTGGACTTCGTGCTGCCTTAGCAGCTGTGAGCAGCACATATGATTTGCAGAGATTAATTTGTGATGTCAGTGGTTTGGGCATGGGTAGAATTTTTAGGTCAATTACAAAATTGTATTTGACCAAGTCACAATGACTAGACTACAGTTTTGATATTGCTTATAGCGATATATCTGTAACATTTCTAAAAGCTAGTGTTAGACTCACTGCATCTTGCTCTGACCTGAGCTGGCTGAGCGCCAGGGAGCTTGAGTCCCGCCAAAGAACCATTCCTGAAGGTCCGACCTTAGTTATGAGACCCCTGACCCTACACAGCCTTCTTCCAACTGCGCTGGGGCCGGAGCATGATACAGAGAACACTGTGATGACGCCGTCTTTGTCCTTTTTTCCAGGTGTGGCCGCCTTGTGTATCACCTTGGCCTGCCTTTCTCCATCCTAGAGTTCCCGTACGTGGAGCAGGCCATTAAGATTGCTTACTGTGAAGAGAAATGTGGAAACTGCTCTCTCACGGTATTTTCTTCAATGATTTTTACTGGGAGGAAAGAGGAGATCTTTAAGGAGTTATCGAAATAAGTTAATGTTTCATGACCAAGTTAGCTAGTCACTGTTGGTGTACTAAAAAGAAACTGCAACAGTAATTTTTATCATCACACACACTCCCTGTCATGTAACCTATTCTTTTTTTAAAAAATATATTTTATTGATTTTCCACAGAAAGGAAGGGAGAGGGATAGAGAGTTGGAAACATCGATCAGCTGCCTCCTGCACACCCCCCACTGGGGATGTGCCCACAACCAAGGCACACGCCCCCGACCGGAATCGAACCCGGGACCCTTCAGTCCGCAGGCCGACGCTCTATCCACTGAGCCAAACCGGTCAGGGCATAAGATATCTTTTCAAGATCCATATTGCCACTTTGGTCTAGAGTTTAGAGCAGTGGTTCTCAACCTTCCTAATGCCGCGACCCTTTAATACAGTTCCTCATGTTGTGGTGACCCCCAATTTCATTGTTACAAATTGAACATAATTAAAGCATAGTGATTAATCACAAAAACAATATGTAATTATATATGTGTTTTCCGATGGTCTTAGGCGACCCCTGTGAAAGGGTTGTTCGACCCCCAAAGGGGTCGTGACCCACAGGTTGAGAACCGCTGGTTTAGAGAGTGAAAAACAACTTAGATCACATGTTGCAGTTACCAGCAAGTGATGCTGCGAGAGTGTAAGTGCTCCAAGAACTCAGCCAACATAAAGGCACGTCAGTGTAAAATCCTGAGCGTGGTTCACGCAAGAGCATAGAGACAGCAAAGCGCAACCACAGTGTGTTGCCTGAACTGGAGCGGGGCCCAGGGAACGACTTCATGGAGCGAGGGCGCGAGGCGTTCAGCTTTTCCCAAGGCCTAGGCTGCCTGCCACCCTGCAGTTGGATCACGGCATTTACTTTGAGATGGGATTAGTTTTCTACTCGTTACTGAGATTTCTTTCCCAAAACACAAAGCCAGTTCCATCCTAGTGCACTAGTTGGAGTTTCATGGTAGCTCTGCAAATCATTTTTCGGGCATTCACGCTCAATCTATGCATGTGTTGATGAGCGATTGATAAATTTGTTTCAGACACTAGAAGATGAAGACTTCTGTAAGAATGTGTCTTTGGCTACTGTGAGAAAAACCACCGAGGCTCCGGAGCCACAACACCATCACCATCATCATCACCATCACAAGCATGGGCATCAGCACATTCCCATCGCCCAGCTCCCGGAGGACCAGCAGCCAGCGGCACCAAACGCGTCTGAGCGCGTCCCTTTTCCAGGTCTTCACCACCACCTTAAGCTCGAGAGCCCCCAAACACAGGGTCACCCCGTGCGTTGAGATGAGCCAGGAAGTGAAAGTTTACCACTCTCTTCTCCACAGAAGAAACTCTGAGGAAAGAGGTGTATCAATCAGTTACTCTGAAAGCTGCCCAGAGAGTCAGAGTCAGCCGCTAGCAGCTGATGCTGACACTGTCGCCATCTGGTATTTGAGCACACAGGGTCCGCAATCACCTGACAGTGTAGAGAAGCCCTCCCCTCTTTATGCAGCTGATTGGGGCTTTGGGCCGAGGAGAACGTCATTGAGTCTTGACAGTGACGCTTGCCTCCCGCTGCCTGACAGGCAGGTCATCTCGAGCCCACGGAAGCCAGCACCACCTGAAGCTGAAAAACTGAGGCAGAAATGTGACAGTGACCTTCAAACTAAATATCTAAACTAGAATATACTCCCAAGTCAGTCTAGACACAATTTCAGTTAGCATATTTATAAACTACCTAATAAATAATGGTAAAAGTTAGGAATTGGATTTGTGCAAATGAAGAAATCTACTATATTGGCTTCCAAATTTTAAGATTTATGCCCAAGAAAAATTTGACCCAAACCATTTTTTTTCATTAGAGGGCAACTGAAAGGTGATTGCAGTGCTTGGTTAGTCTGTCTTTCTTTTTCTTTTTCCAGCATTCTACTTGCATTAATGAGAACAGGAACATAAACTATGACCTAGGGGTTTCTGTTGGATAGTTAGCAATTTAGAATGGAGGAAGAACAACAAAGACATGCTTTCCATTTTTTCTTAATTCTCAAAACAATGTTACCTTTGTCTTTTCAATCTTACAGTTTTAACTGATTATACCTTTAAAGGAAGAAGTGAATTCTTGCTACTTAACATATGAGTACCTTGCTACTGACTACATTTTAAATATCCATTTATACTTTTTTATATCTAAGACTCAAATCTTAAATTTTATTATCACCTATGAAAGAAGGCTTTATCTATTGTTTTCTTTACCTTGCATTGTATCAAACTCTTTAAGATTTGAGAATGCCTGTCTTGAAAGATATAAGGGGAAAGAGAAAAGAATGTTGTCTATCTCTTGATTGCTTAGCAAGTATTTCCATAGTCAATGATGGTTCACTAGGTAAACTAAGTCCTATGAACCTGAACTCCGTTATGGTTAATACTATTAAGTAAGAATGCAGTATATAGTTGGCCATAGTGTGGATTTATTTCAATAAACTCAATTTAAAATGTCTAAAGCTGTCTCTTACATTGTTATTATTTAGGCAGTTTATCATATTAACAATAGAAGTAAAGTTTTCAACTGCTTTTAAAGGAGTTAAATAGCAACAAATGAATTTACTGCTGTCCTTAAAACCGTCTACGTTTAAGGTGAGGATCCTTGCCAACAGAGAGGCGCTGCTCCAGTTCTCGAATGGTGTTACGAAGAGTTGCAATCTCCTTGTTCTTTTCTTCTTGAAGATGTTGAAGCTTCTAAATAAAGCAGAAAAATTTTGCTATTGTAATCCAAAAAGGATAAGATTAAGTACAAGGAACAACAAAACAACAACAAAAACTAAACTTCTAGTTTAAATAGAAGTAGGTATTAAAAAAAGACCTTACATTTCAAAAAGTGTAATTTTGTTTTTGTGGGACTTAATGGGGTAAAATTGGCATAAGGATGCAAAAATACACATTAGCACCATTTGTTTTAGTTTGTTCCCTTCTCCCTAGAGAACTTGAAATTGTAAAGCATAAATAAAGAAGGAGTTGAACAAAAAGAAATCTACTGTGTACTGAAATAGCTTCAGAAGTCAGTCCACATTAGTTCAAAATACATCACAGAATTCCTTAGACCATCCAGAGTCAGAGGACTTCTCTAGTGTTTTAACTAACCACTAAGACTTACGAGTTTAAATTGAAAGTGACCTTTAAAGATTATTCAAAATCTAATCTTTCTGATTGTGTGATGTATTTTAAGAAAAAGTATTAAGTATATTGTTAGTAAATACTGACAACTTTTATGGAAGGAAACACACTAAGAAACTTTATTTTCTTAAGCATGGAAGAAAAACTTACCCTTCTGTAGATACTTTGTGGCAAAACAGTAGAATCTGGATATGATTTTGGTTTAGTTTGAACTCTTGCTAGTTTGGCATCAAACTGAATCAAGTTTAAAAAGAAAGTTATTGGGAACATTCTAGTTAAACAATTAGAAACACTGTCTCCATAAATATAAATACAATCCATTATATCCTTTGACATTTAATCTGTAATCCTATATAATAAAAGCCTAATATGCTAAGTGTCCAGTAGACCGGTCAGCTGTTCAACCAATCAAAGCGTAATATGCTAATGATATGCTAAGGCCGCTCAACCGCTCACTATGACGTGCACTGACTACCAGGGGGCAGACACTCTGGCTAGTGTTAGCTTGCTGCTGGGGTCTGGCTTAGCAGGACTGAGTGAGATGGGCCAGACACGCCCTGGAACCCTCCTGTGGTCCCTCCCTGGATGGCCAACCTCCCATGTCCCTCCCCTGCCCCAACTGTGCACCAGTGGGGTCCCTTGGCCTGGCCTGTACCCTCTCACAATCCAGGACCCCTCGGGGGATGTCAGAGAGCCTGTTTCAGCCCGATCCTGCAGGCCAGGCTGAGGGATCCCACTGGTGCATAAATTTGTGTAGCGGGCCTCTAGTTTAAGTATATTCGAGGTGTAACAGAAGATAGAAAAGTCTCTATTTAAGAAATAGAGCAAAGAACACCCAAACAAGATTAACCCTGGCTGCATGCTAAGATTACCTGGGGAGCTTTTTAAAAGTACCCAATACTGGGCACTACCCTAGAGATTCTGGGTGGGGTTAGCATCATCTTTTCTTAGAATATCAGGTGTTTCTATCATACAGGGTTAAGATATCTAGTTAAGAGGGTTGAGAATCTAGTTAACCTAAAGAGAGATAATGTTTCACATTACTTTGAGTGCTTTTTAAAAAACTATTTTCTTTATTGACTTTAGAAGAGAGGAAAAGAGAGGGAAAGAGAGAGAGAGAAACATCAATGATGAGAGAAAATCATTGATCGGTTGCCTCCTGCACGCCCCACATTGAGGATCAAGCCCACAATCCAGGCATGTGCCCCAATGGGGAATCGAACTGTGACCTCCTGGCTTACAGGTTGATGCTCAACCACTGAGCCACGCCGGCTGGGCAAAGTGTTTTTGTAAAAAAAATGTCGGCTAATTAACAGTCATGGGAGAAAACTCATATACCCTTCTGTACAGACTTTGAGACAGAATAATAGAATTTGGATTTGCTTTTGTTGATTTAGTTTGAACTCTTGCTAATTTGACATTAAACTGAATCAGGTTTTTAAAAAAATCCTTGTAAGTTCATTCTTACAGGCCATATTTTTGGCAAAATCTCCCATGATAACTTTTCCTTCAGGTTGAGTTTAGTGCAGCCTCCCTGTGGACTAAGAATAAACTGTCTGTGAGACTGTGTTCTGGTTTGGGGAGAGAAATGGATCATGACGATGAAAATAAACAGCAGGAAGAGTTCTGTCTGTCAGTCACACAACAGACTTGGGCTAACAGGGTCCGGATGGCAAATAAAATGCACATCCCAATCAAGGGGTGGGAAGGTAACAGCAGTTCCTCTGTATCTCAGCTGCCCATCCAGCCTTTCCGTGGTGTGTGGGTTCACTTGATGGAAGGCAGTAGCAACCACCAAGAGCCTCTGAAGTCAACATAGCCATCTTTTGCTTAATGATTATACACGTTTCAACACTACCTCACCAAGAACCCCCAGGATACCAAACTAGCTGGAACATGAAAGTAAGTCATCTTAACTAATGGTGAATTATGACACCATAAGGTAAAGTGGGAGTCAGGATGGGGGAATGTGATAAAAAATGATGGAAAGGGAGATTAGTAAAATTTAGAAAAAGCTTTAAGGAACAAATATGTTGTCAAATATCAGTATCTTTATATTTTGACACCTGGTTAAGGAACCTACTTAAGGGCTTTCCAGTCAAGAACTAGAACCTCAGCCTTCCAGATGCCCTATTTGAAGTTGCTTTAAATAAAAAAAAGTTTGGTTTGTCTGCCTCTATGATATTCTACACATTTGTTAAGGAGACATTTGTCTCTTTTTATCCTAAGAGAAAGAAATTTCTACATGTTTCCACCATTTCTGCAGAGGCGAGAGTAATACTAAGGATTAGAGACACTCCCCACTGGGGGGAAGGGGGACAGTCCTATGAAGCCTGCCTGGGCTCAGCTGTAAAATGCAGGTAATCCCTGCGTTACCTGACCCCCTCAGAGGAAACAATACTTCTCTAGAAACCAGGACGTTTGAACGACTGAAGAGCCCCACCTTCAGGCCAAGTGTTGAATGTCAGCATAGCTGACATTTGCGGAGAAGGCTACTTCCGAATTTATCTCACTGTGATAAAAAAATGCCCAAAGTACGGTCTAAATTAAGGGATGCATCCTCAAATGTAGAAGTCTTAAACATTTACCTCTAGCTGTAGTTTGATTATTTCAGTTTGTTTTTCCTTCTCTTGAATTTTTAACTTTGCATTTAACTCTGAAATTTCCATCTCCATTTTCTCTACCAGTTCTTTATTCTTTTCTTCATTTAATTCGACTGAATAAAACAAAGTAAATAAAATTAATTCACTTTAAAATTTAAAAAATCTTATAAGCTTATAGTTTTAGTATTTTAAATGATACACGAGAAAGTAAATTTTATTAATAAAAACACACAGTATTTTAGAAACTGTTTATGTGCAGCATACCTTTTAGATATTTTTGACAAGCCTTTGCCAAAAGCTTGAAACATAGAAGTCACCCATTGAATGCTTTTTAAATAAATAAACTGATTTGTACCCTTAAGCAACAATGGCCTACAGATTAAAGAGGAGATCAGTGGTTAAAGACGGAAAAAAGCCTAGGTTCCTAGGTCGAAAGGCCCCAAATTCCTGAACTGATTTGTACCCTTAAGCAACAATGGCCTACAGATGAAAGAGGAGATCAGTGGTTAAAGACGGAAACAAAGCCTAGGTTCCTAGGTCGAAAGGCCCCAAGTTCCTGGATGACTCTAGAGCCACGCCAAGCACCTGCTATACTCTGTTCCCTATAATTGGCCTCTCTGACATTCACATCATATTTTTATTTTTCATCAAATCTCCTTTTCTCTGAATTTCCCTATTCCTATAAATAATACCGTACCATCCAAGATGGGAACCTCAACGAACTTTTCGGCGTTAGGGAGAAAGGAAAGAGTCCATGAGTCTACAACAAGCCCCTCAGATAAGGGGCCTCCATCCACAAGGAACCCACGACCTATTTAGTTTCAGGCCTCACTTTTCCTCAGTTGAACTCTGTGTCTAGACTCTCTATCACTAGCTCTATCTCTCAGTCAAAAAGTTTGCCCACCCCTGGTCTAGACTCTCTATCACTAGCTCTATCTCTTTAAACACTGTTGCCAGGCTAGTCTTCCTAAAGTGTACCTCTAAGCATGGCCATCACATGTCAAAAGCTTTCAACCACTTCCCATTTCCCTAGCGGGACAATTCAAGGCCTACCCACAGGTTTTGGCCTTTCTCTTGCTGAACTTCTCTGTATAGTGCAAAGAAAAGGTAGGAAATGAGCTATGATTCCCTAGCATTTCTTATGTCTCCCCCTCTGTATGTCTCCGAGTTTATTTTCTCTTTGTCTAGAGGCTCTTTTCCTATCTTCACCAGTCAGCCTTACCCATATTCAGGATTTAGGAGCAGGGCCTAGCACTAAGGCCCCATCTTAGCCTGGGGTGAGGCAAAGTCCATAAGAATATATCTAGCTATCCAAACTCCACCTGGTCTCAGTCTGTACTCAGTATGTGCCTGAAGGCAGCACTGCTGCAGACACAATGCACAGAAGCTGTGATTACAACATGAAATGTGTCCATCTTCAGACACTATATTAGAGAACAGGTGTGTGGTTTTCTTTATCACAGCTAGGGGCCCAGTGCACGAATTTGTGCACCTTGAAAGGAACTGTGGGCTCCTCTGGCTGCGGCCCCAGGTCCCCTCTCTGCCATTGCAGCTCCCATGCGCTGATGGCACCGACCCCGCTCGCACCCGCTGATGGTGCAAGCGGCGGCTGCTGCCCTGAGTGTCCTTCAGGAGCAGGGGGAGGTGGAGAATCCCTCAGGGGCGATCGGGGCCAGCAGCTGCCGCTTGCACCCACTGCCACTTGGTTGATGGCACTGAGCAATTGGGGCTGGCACCAGGTGCAGCAGGTGTGAGTGGCAGCTCTGGTGCTGGCAGCAGGTGCGAGCGGGGCTGGTGTGAGTGCCAGGAGGGACCACGGCCCGTGGGACCAAAGAATTTTCAGTAACCACCAGAGGCTCGCCCCGATGACAGCGACTGGCGCCATGCCTTGGTCTGGCGTCCCCGCTCACCTGCCCCACCATCCCGCTGTGGCCATCACCCACCATGTTCCACACTCTGCCGCCTGCTGCTGACGCCCACCATGTTCCACACGTGCCCCCTGTTGGTCAGCGCATGTCATAGCGACCAGTTGTTCGGTTGTTCCGCTGTTTGGTCTATTTGCATGTTAGCCTTTTATTATATAGGATCACCCTGAAAGCTTTTGTTATCAAGATTCTGTTGGCCTTATGAAATGAACTGGAAAATGTTTCCTCTCTTTTGTTTGTTCATCCTCTGCAAGAGTTTGTGTAAGGTTGGCATTACTTTTCCTGGATGTTTGGTAGAATTTCACCAGGAAAGCCATCTGAGCCTGAAGGTTTTTTTTTGTGGGAAAAGTATCATAGATTTAATTTCTTTAATGGAGATAGAACAATTCAGATGTTCTATTTCCTCTGGTGTGCTTTTGATTCTTCAAAAATGTCTAATTCAACAAAAATTTCAAATTTATTAACATAAAGATGTTTGCTTATACAGTTAATTATGGAGTTCATTCAATTTGTAAAGTTTAAAATTATTTTCTTTCTCATTTCTGATATTGATTAATTGTACTTGCTCCATTTTTTTTCTTGATCAGTCTAGATGGGAGTTAATCCATTTCATTAGTTTTTTTTTTTCAAAAATTTTTGGATCTGATTATTATATATGTGTTTGTAATTTCAGTAATATCTGACTTCCTCCTAATTTCTTCAGGCTTAGTTTGATATTTCCCTCCTAACTTCTTGATATAGGTATTTAGATAATTGATTTAAACATTTTCCAATATTTGTATTTAAGCCTATAAATGTACCCATAAACACAGCTTTATCTGTGCCCACAGTTGTTTTTTTAATATTTTAAAATTGATTTTTTAGAGAGAAAGGAAGAGAGAGGGAGAGAGAAATAGAAACATCAATGAAAAGAGAGAAACATT